ATGGGTTTATTTTTGAGACTTTTCTATTCTATTGATCTACATGTGTCCTTATGCCATAGCCTTGATTACTGTGGATTTGTTGTAACTTTTGAAATCTAGAAGTTTGAGTCTCCCAACTTAGTTCTTTTTAAAGATTGTTTTGACCATTTTGGTCCCCTTGCAATTCCATCTGAATTTTAGGATTGTTTTGGTAATTTCTGCAAAATAACCAGCTGGGATTGTGTTACAGATTGTGCTCTGAATTTGTTGATCAATTTAATGAATATTGCTATCTTAATACTATTAAATCTTCTGATCCATGGACATAGAATATCTTTTATTTATATCTTCTTTTATTTCTTACCACAGTGTTTCATAGTTTTCAGAATACAAGTTTTGCACTTTTTTTTTTTTTTTTTTAGATTTTATGTATTTAATTGAGAGAGAGAATGAGAGACAGAGAGCACGAGAGGGAAGAGGGTCAGAGGGAGAAGCAGACCCCCCGCTGAGCAGGGAGCCCGATGTGGGACTTGATCCCGGGACTCCAGGATCATGACCCGAGCCGAAGGCAGTCGCTTAACCAACTGAGCCACCCAGGCGCCCAGTTTTGCACTTTTTAAAAAAATGAGTAGATGTTATTTTTTGAGCTATTTTAGGTTTATAGAAAAATTGTACAGAAAGTACAGAGAGTTCCCATATACTTCCTCCTCCCCAACCCCATACACAGTTCTCCCTATTAATGTCTTGCATCAGTGTGGTTCATTTGTTGTAATTGATACATTATTAACCAATGTTCATAGTTTACATTAGCCTTCACTCCAATGCGTTTTACAGTTCTATGGGTTTTTCATGTGTCCATCATTACAGTGTCACATAAAATAGTTTCATTGCCTTAAAACTTTCCTCTACTCCGCCTGTTCATTTATCCTTCCCTCAAATCCCTGGCAACCACCGATCTTTATATTGTCTTTACAATTCTGCCTTTTCCAGAAGTCCTATAGTTGCAAATAAACAGTATGTAAGCTTTTCAGACTGACTTTTCTCAGTAATATGCATTTAAGTTTTCTTCATGTCTTTTTTGTGGCTTAATAGTTCATTTATTTTTAGTACTGAATGCTCTTCCATTGTGTGGATATTTATCCATTTATGGGAGGACATCTTGGTTGCTTCCAATTTTGGCAATTATGAATAAAGTTGCTATAAACCCTTGTGTGCAGGGTTTTATGTGGACATAAGTTTTCAACTCATACAGCTGGATTCTATCATAAGACTCAGTTTTGTAAGAAAGTGCCAAACTCTTCCAAAGTGGCTGTACCATTTTGCATTCATTCATACCTCCACACCCTTGGCAACACTTGGTGTTGTCAATAGTTTAGATTCAAACCATTCTAATAGTTGTGTAGTGGTATCTCATTATTTTAATTGTAATTTCTTGATAATATATGATACTGAATTTTATATGTTTATTTGCCTTCTGTATATCTTCTTTGGTATCTGTCTATTCACACTTCTTTTTAAAAAATTTATTCTGAAGGACTTCATTCTTTTTGGTGTTCCGTTCATTGCAAGTGTATAAAATACAGTTGATTTTCATATATTGATTTTATATCCTCCTTCTTTGGTGAACTCATTATTAGCCCTAGTAGTGGATTTTCTATATATAAGATCATGTCATCTGCAAGTAGAGATCATTTTACTTCTTTTCCCACTTGGATGTCTTGTTTCTTTTTTTATGCTTTGTTTCTCTTTTTTTCCTGATTGCCCTGGCTAGAAATTCCAGCACAGTTTTGAATAGAAGTGGCAAGAATGGACATTCTTATCTTGTTCCTGATCTTAGAGGAGAAGCATTCAGTCTTTTATCATTAAGTATGATGTTTGTGTGGGTTTTTTGTAGATGTCCTTTATCAGGTTGAACAAGTTGAGGAAGTGTTTTAGGTATGTAGATGTTTAGACCCTACCATTAAAGGTTCTGATTTAGTGATCTGGGGTAAGGACCAGGTGTCTGGTTTTTTTGTTTTGTTTTGTTTTTTAAGATTTTATTTATTTGTTTATTTAAAGAGAGCATGAGCAGGAGGAGAGGCAAAGGGAGAGGGGGAGAGAGAGAGAATCTCAAGCAGACTCCGCGCTGAGCGCGGAGCCTAACAGGCTCCATCTCAGGACCCTGAGATCATGACCTGAGCTGTAATCAAGAGTTGGCTGCTTAACTGACTTAAGCAAGTACCCCAGGACCAGATATCTTTAGTTGTAAAAAGGCACATAAGAAAATAAAAGGTATATAAGTAATTTTGTCCATAGCCAGGATTGAGAATATCTGCCCTATTTTCATTGAAGTACTTCATGCTTCATTCTTTTCAAACCTGTATTATCACTTCCATTCTTCCCCCTCAGCTGAGAACCTTGAACTTGTCACATTGTCAATTCTCTAAATGTTATATTCCTAACTCAAATTATTTTTGGTGATAAACAGTAGCAAATAGGCTATATTGCATAGGTTAATTTTCTTTCATACAGTGGGTTTGATTAAGATATGATATTCAGATTTATTTTACCTATAAGGAATATAAGCTATTTGATGACCCTAACTTATGGCTAATTTCATTCCTCATTATAACAGAGTAGTACACAGGACATAATTGTTGATAATCCATGTAAATTATTTTTTAGCCTCTTTTCTCAATCTTTGTTTTTATTTTTTGAAATCAATTATACATAGTCTTACTACTGACATTGTCCCTGTGTTCCATCAAAACATGTAAGAAATAACTCATTTGACCTGTATGGTGAATAATAATTATTTTGCTTCTTTAGGACACCATGTAAAATTGAACCTAGTATAAACCACATTCTAAGCTCAAGGAAGCCTGGAAAGGAAGAAGGGGATCCCCTGCGAAGAGTTCAAAGCCATCAGCAAGAGTCTCAGGAGAAGAAAGAGAAGATGATGTATTGTAAGGAAAAGATTTATGCCGGAGTGGGGGAGTTCTCCTTTGAAGAGATCCGGGCTGAAGTTTTCCGGAAGAAATTAAAAGAGCAAAGGGAAGGTACGTATATTGATCTAGTTCACAGCAAAATTTCTTGGGAATTGTAATCTTTGTCATTGCCCATTATTTTCTCAACCATTCCCTCTATTCCAGTGAAGCAGCTCTGATCATGGTCACCAGAAACCTCCTTTTTGCCAAATCCAGTGGCCATTTATCAGTCTTGATCTTTTTTGACCTCTTGGCTTCATTTGACACAGTTGATGAAATGCTTGTGTATTAAATGCTTCTCTTGGCTTTTTCCTTGGTGCGTATTCCCTCTCAATTTCCTTCACTGCTATTCCTGAGACCCAGGATAGAGTCTGGAATATTCTAATCACAACTATCACTAGGTAATGGATTAAATACTCTTTACAAGCTGGGGACTCTCAAATTTATATCTCTATCCCTGACATTTCACCTGAATTCCAGACTCTATTTAGTTACCTACGACTATCACTAGATAATGGATTAAATACTCTTTACAAGCTGGGGACTCTCAAATTTATATCTCTATCCCTGACATTTCACCTGAATTCCAGACTCTATTTAGTTACCTATATCTGTTGGCTATTCCAACAGACACTTTAAACTCAACATAGCCAGAACAGAATTACTGATCTCTGCCAAAAACCACACCCCAACACATACCACAGGCTTCCCCATTTGAGTAAAAGGGAACACCATGCACCCAGTTGGTTCAAGCCAAAAAACCCCGTAAGTCATCTCTGATCCCTCTTTCTGTACCATTCTCCCACATCTAATGAATAAGCCTATCAACTGTACCACCAAAAAATCTTCCAAATCTTTCATTTATCACCATTCTCATTATTAACCCAAACTGCCATCTTTTAGGTAGACTACTGCAGCTAGACTTTCTGCAAACTTCAATCTGGCCTTACTGCAGTCCATTTTGCTCATAGCAGATGATCTTTATAAAAAGTCCAGGTCCTATCATTACTTTACTTAAAATTCTTCAGTGTTTTCTCATTGTCTTACCATGTAGTACGAACTCTACCCACACATGACTTGGCTCCTGCCTACCTCTCCAACCTCATCTTTTACTTTTCTCCCTCTTATTTTGCTACAGTCATCCTGGCCTTCTCTGGAACTCACTCTTGAGCACAGTGACCTTGTTCCTGCATTAAAGCCTTTATGCCAGCTTTGGCCTAGAATCTTTCCCCAGATCTTTATATGACTGGCTCCTTGTCATTTGGGTTGCAACCTTATGAATGTCCCTCTCTTAAAATGATCTTCCCTGCTCAGCTGTCTTAAGTAGCTCCTGACCTCCATCCTCCTACTCAGTCACACATTCTCACATCACCTATTTTATTTTATTTATTTATTTGAGATAGAGGGTGAGAGCAAGAGCTGGGAGACAGAGTGGGAGGGAGAAGCAGGCCCCCCGCAGAGCAAGGAGCCCAATGCAGGGCTCCATCCCAGGACCCTGGGATCATTACCTGAGCCAAAGGCAGATGCTCAATCGACTGAGCCACCCAGGCGCCCCACCTATTTTATTTTTAACACTGATTTTCTTATTAATTTGTGTGTGTGTCTTCCCCAAATTGAATGTTAGTGTCACATGACTAAGGACGTTGTATTATGCACCACTGACATGTAAATGCTCCGAATTGTTCTTGGCACATCATAGATATTCTGGTTCTTATTGATTAAATAAATGAAAGAATAGAGACCTAGACCTCAAGTAGAGGACTTTGCTCCATTTATATTATTCTCATCTGTAATATTAGCATGTATGTTGAAGGCATGCGCTCCAAAGACAGTTTTTGACAGAATAAATTGCTATAAGGAGTAATGCATTAGCCAACCTTACTGTTTCTAGCTGAGCTACTGACCAGTGCAGAGAAGAGAGCAGAAATGCAGAAACAGATTGAAGAGATGGAGAAGAAGCTGAAAGAAATTCAAACTACTCAGCGAGAAAGAATGGGTGATCAGGTCATTTCTCTCTCTTTTTTTTTTTTTAAAGATTTATTTATTTGTTTTAGAGAGAGATTGTGTGCAAGCACGGAGAAGGGCAGAAGGTGTCATGCAGGGCTCCATATCACACCCTGAGATCATCACCTGAGCTGAAACCAAGAGTCACATGCTTAACCGTGCCACCCAGATGCCCCCATTTCTCTTTTTTTTTAACACAGAAAACTGTACTTATTGAAACAAAGTTAAATAATATAAAAGCATAGAAGATAAAAATCCTCCCAACCCCCATTCAGGGTTTCTGGTAGTTTCATAGCTATTAGTGGCAACAAATTCCAGCAGGAGAGTAATTTAACAAGTGACCTCAAATGGAACTTGTGTCACTAGAAGTGATGCAATTTATTGACATCTTAGTTAGACTCTAAACCATTGTTTTATAACTTCTGGACTTTAGCTTTTTATTCTAGTCATGTTACATTGAAATGGGGTCACCCAAAGAAATTTGGTATATGCTTGGCACTGCTCAGTTGAGTACAACAGAAACGGTTTATCCTAGGAATGTAAATTATTAGAAAGAACTTTTATAGTATAGATATTTTATATGGTTAGTGGGTATCTAGGTGAAGAGTATAGTAAACCTAATTTTGGAACTAAAGCTTGAAAATAGGTAGGATTTTTTAGATAGGAGGGACACATTGATTTTGTTTCTTTAATGCAAATAGCAAGAAGAGAAGATGCCTACAAAGGAGACAGCTGAACTGCAAATTGCTTCGGAGGCTCAGGAAATACCAGGAATGGCTCTATCCAATTCTGTTTGTCCAGTAAACTCTTGTGCCAGGTAGGACTGCATTGGTGGGAGGGATGATGCTTATAGGAGGGCACTTAGAACCAACCTTTGACTCTAATGACTTGAAGTCTTTTATAATATTAAGACTTAATGTTTGCAAGTCTCTGTCACAACATAAGCTCTGATACTGATGAGGTAAGACAAGGTACTGACATTTTTCCGTTAAAAAAAATACATGTTTCTAACAGAAACAATCAAATATAATTTTTAAATTAAAAACAAATTTTTTTAAAGTAGCCTTCACGCCCAGCATGGAGCCCAACATGGGGCTTGAACTCACGACCCTGAGATTAAGACCAGAGCCGAGATCAAGAGTCAGAGACTTAACCGACTGAGCCACCCAGTCACTCCTCAAATATAATTTTTTAAAGATAAAACCACCCATTTTTTACCACCAAGAGATTATTGCTATTAACATAAGTATATCCTTATGTGTTCTGTTTTTTGTTTTATTTGATAAAAATGAGAGTTTGCCATTTTGTAATCTGCTTATGCTGTTAATGTTATAACATCTATTATCAAATATACTTCTATAACAATTTTAATGACTGAAGGTTCGATCTTCTTAAAGAATTTGGATTGACAAGACTAGAATTTTTTTTTATCTAGAGTGAAGAAGATTATATTTAATGGAAAAGCCTCTTGGACTTATAAGAATTAAATAATTCTTTTTGTGGGTACTTAGCACATGTTTTAAAATAAGTTTCTTTACAGGGAGACTTCACTTGCTGAAAACTTTTGGCAAGAACCTCATTCTAAAGGTGAGTTGTATTTGACAATATCATGAAAAACTTACCAGTAACAAACACATTATGTAATATGTGGTAAATATTTTTCTTAATTATGGTAAAGGGAGTTGTAAGAAGACAGAGGGGAACTAAGAGATTATCGTATCTTTGAATCATGGAATTCAGTTATAAGCATATGATTTGAGATAGGATAGGCATTTTAAAGAGTATTTTTGTAAGATTCCTCAGTTCTTTGAAATGTTTAGTTTAAATGTAAATTTAAATTTATATTAACTACCAAATACTATCTTCCACCTTAGCGGTGTACACTGAGCTAAACCTATCAGTAGTATCCAGCAGCCAAGAAAGTAGTTTTTCAGAAGAAAGAAAAAATGTCTAAAACTAAAGCTATTTAGGGGCACCTGGGTGGCTCAGACGGTTAAGTGTCTGCCTTTGGCTCAGGTCATGATCCCAGGGTCCTGGGATGGAGCCCCGCATCAGGCTCCCTGCTCAGTGGGAAGCCTGCTTCTTCCACTGCCGCTCCCCCTGCTTGTGCCCTCTCTCTCTCTCTCAAATAAAATGAGTAAAATAAAATCAAATCTTAAAAAAAAAACAACTAAAGCTATTTATACTCAAATTTATTCTTTTTTTTTTTTAAGATTTTATTTATTTATTTGACAGAGAGAGAGAGAGCAAGCAGGGGGAGTGGCAGGCAGAGGGAGAGGGGGAAGCAGGCTTCCCAGCTCCCCATGGAGCAGGGAGCCCAATGCAGGGCTTGATCCCAGGATCCTGGGATCATGACCTAAGCCAAAGGCAGAAGCCTAACCAACTGAGCCACCCAGGTGCCCCAAATTTATTCTCTTCATTTAAAAATACGTTAAAAGTGGTAAAGACATGAACATCTACCTAGTAGTAGTTGAAAACAAATTAAATAGAATCTGATTAAACCTCTAACTCTAACCACCAATTTATAGGAAATACAAAGCATGGAGGAACATGTTAAACAACATAGGAAGATGTAATTGGCAAAAAATCCAGCATTATGGGGCAAACAACCCTGTTTCTTCAACAGAAAATTACTAAAACAACAACAAACTCTATAGAATCAAAGTGATTTAGGAGGTATTTCAACCAGTCACAGTATATGAATCTGCATTCCCAATTCAAACTTTCTAAATAATTTTGGTAAAATGTGAGTCTTCTGATTGGATATATGATACTCAGAAATTATTAATCCTATAGGTATGGTTATGTTTTGAGATTATGCTTTTTTGAACAAGTCTCTCTTAGAATTACATCCTGAAATATTTACAAATGAAGTGATATGATGTCTTAGATTTGCTTTAAGATAATTCAGAGTTGGGTTGGGTTTGGAAAGTAGTGGTAGTGGTGGGGAATAAAGAAGGATGAGACACAATCATCCATGTTTAGATAACTTATTAAATGATCTCTACTTTTATATGTTTGAAATTGTTCATTATAAAGAACAGATTACCTTTCTGCTTCCAAACAGCACAGAATATTAATTGACCTAGATGTCCTGAAAAATAGGCATTTACTCTTAAGATCATCAATCTGTTCTCTTTTTCTATAGGTCCCAGTATACCTTTCTCCATTTTTGATGAGTTTCTTCTTACAGAAAAAAAAAATACCAGGTTTGAAGTTTTTGTTTTGTTTTAATACTTAAAAGTCTTCTGTTATTATAAATGAGGGTGAAATAAGGGTTACTGTTATCTATGTGAACAGAAAAATAAGTGGGGTATTTTTTTTCCAGTCATCCTGGAGATCCCCCACGGGTTTTAGCCCAACGAAGACCCTTTGCAATTCTCAAGACTTCAGAAAGCATCAACTCAAATGAGGATGTGTCTCCAGATGTTTGTGTAAGGAACAGTATTCCTAAGTTAATATAAGCAGACTGATGAATTGTTTCATTCAATCTCATAAAGTTAGGGTTAAAATTAAAATCACTGGCTTGGGGTGCCTGGGTGGTTCAGTCAGTTAAGTGTCTGCCTTTGGCTTGGGTCATGATCCCAGGGTCCTGGGATCGAGTCCTGCTTTGGCCTCTGCTCAGCAGGGAGTCTGCTTCTCCCTCTGCCTGTCACTCTGCCTACTTGTGCACGCACTTTCTCTGTCAAATAAATAAATAAAATCTTAAAAATAAATAAAAATAAAAACACTGGCTTAAAACTTAAGCCCATGAAAAGATGGTTAACGTCATTATTCATTGGAGAATGTAGATCCACAACCACAGTGAGATACTCCTTCACATGCACTGTGATGGCTATAATCAAAGAAAATAACAAGTGCTGGTGAGGATGTGGAGAAATTAGAACGCTCATACAGGGTAGGGTTATAAAATGGTGCAGCCACTTTGGAAAACAGCTTGGTAGTCTCTCAAAATGTTAAACATAGAGTTACCATATGTATGACCTAGCAATTCTCTCCTAGGTATATATCCAAGACCATTAAAAACATGTTTACATTTTTAAAGATACTGTACATGAATGATCATAGCAACATTATTTATAATAGCCAAAATATACTAGCATATATGCTGTAATTTCACTTGTTATAAAACCTCTTATTTATTTATTATTATTATTTTTTTAAGTAGGCTCCACACCCAGCACGGAGCTTGAACTCATGACCCCAAGACCAAGAGTCACGTGCTCCACCAACTGAGCCAGCCAAATGGCCCTAAAACCCCTTTTTTAAGTACATGCACTTAAATGTATGCATGTAACCTACCAGATGTGTATGGTAACAACCGTTGCCTCTGGGGAATAGTAATTGGAGGGGAGATGGGGGTCAAGTGCCAGAGGGAGACTTTTCCATTATATATCCTTTTCAACTAGTTGACTTTTTAAACCATATACATGTGTTACTTTGGTTTTTGTTTTTTGGTTTTTTTTAAAGATTTTATTTTATTTTATTTTATATTTTATTATTTTATTTTATTTTATTTATTTTGACAGAGAGAGACCCAGCGAGAGAGGGAACACAAGCAGGGAGAGTGGGAGAGGGAGAAGCAGGCTCTCCGCAGAGCAGGGAGCCCGATGCGGGGCTTGATCCCAGGATCCTGGGATTATGACCCGAGCCGAAGGCATATGCTTAACAACTGAGCCACCCAGGCGCCCCAACATGTATTACTTTGAAAGACAAAGGGGGGGCACCTGGGTGGCTGATTCAGTTAAGTGTCTGACTCTTGATTTCAGCTGAGGTCATGATCTCGGGGTCCTGGGGTGGAGCCTCCTGTGTCAGGCTACGCGTTCATCCAGGGAGTGTGCTTGAGATTCTCTCTCTCCCTTTGCTCCTCCCCCTGCTTGCACATACACGGTCTCTAAAATAAATAAATAAATCTTTGAAAGACAAAGGAATATTTTAAAAATTTTCCATTTTTTTATACTTTGTATTCCATATTTTCTACTGTGACTGTGAATTATCTTTAAGAAATAAAATACAAATTCAATATTTGGTATAGAAGAAAACTTAAAAGCTAGGAGGATAGCAGATTATCAGAACATTTTCTAGGTCAAAGCCAGAAGAGAAATATTATTCCTCTAGTTCTTAGGTGAAATTGGTTGGGCAAAAAATCATTATCCAGTATTTTTCCTTTGTGTGGAGAATCCTCACAGTATATTTTTTTGATAATACATAGTTTGCTATTTTCATGATATAAAACTTTTTTCCTCAGATATTATGATGTGCTTTTTAAAATGATCTTTCCTAGAGATTCTAATATGCTACTTCTGTACCCTACATTGAAAATCACTTATCTAATTTAGTTTGTCTTTCTGAGTAAAAAAGGTAGGTCCTCCATATTCTCACTGAAATATTTCAGCTGAACTTTTATGTGTTTTTTATTTCAGGATGAATTTACAGGAATTGAGCCCTTGAGTGAGGATGCTATTATCACAGGTTTCAGGAATGTAACTATATGTCCTAACCCAGAAGACACTTGTGACTTCGCCAGAGCAGCTCGTTTTGTATCCACTCCTTTTCATGAGATAGTGTCCTTAAAGGATCTCCCTTCTGATCCAGAGAGACTGCTGCAGGAGGAGGGTCTAGCTGTGAAGATCTCTGCGGACCAGCAGACTGCTTGTGGCACCATCTACAATCCAACTCTCAGTGTCAAGAAGCTCAGGTGATTGTAGGTTGCACACACCAGATTGTTTGAGTGATCTCTTACTCTGTGTGTGCTTGTCAGAGTGATCATTTATCAGGTTCTCACTACCTGCCAGGTACCGTGCTAAGTGCTTTACATGACAGTAGGACTCCCCCTGACAAAGTGGTGGTGGGATTTGGTAATTGATTTGAGTATGAGGGTTAGAAGAAGTAAATTTTGATGGTTATGAGACTGAGAGCCCCCGGAGGATTCTGGTGTCTTTGAGAAAACTTGGCAAAGTATACCTGATGGGGAGACAGGAGGCATTTTGTTTTTCCTTTAATATTACATTTTAAATAATGGTAAAATAGCTTGATACTAATTTCAGATAGGCAACAAGAAGTGTACTTTTTTTTTTTTAAAGATTTTATTTATTAGAGAGATCATGAGCTTGGGGGGGGGGGGGGGGTGTGGCGGGCAGAGGGAGAACCAGAGTCCCTGCTAAGCAGGGAGCCAGATGTGGGACTCAATCCCACAACCCTGGGATCATGACCTGAGCTGAAGGCAGACGCTTAACCCACTGAGCCACCCAGGCGCCCAGAAGTGTACTTTTTTAAAGTATGTTTTAGGGGCTCCTGGGTGACTCAGTTAAGTATCCGACTCTTGATTTCAGCTCAGGTTATGAGATCAGGCCCCAGGTCAGGGTCCATGCTTAGCGTGGAGTCTGCCTGAGATTCTCCCTCTGCCTGTGTCCCTCCCCCTGCTCTCTCTCTTTCTCTCTCTCTCAAAAATAAATAAATAGATAGATAAAATCTTTATTTTTTTTAAAGATTTTATTTATTTATTTGACAGAGAGAGAGACAATGAGAGAAGGGAACACAAGCAAGGGGAGTGGGAGAGGGAGAAGCAGGCCTCCTGCCAAGCAAGGAGCCCAATGCAGGGCTCGATACCAGGACCCTGGGATCATGACCTGAGCCGAAGGCAGACGCTTAATGGCTGAGCCACCCAGATGTCCCTAAATAAAATCTTCAAAAAAAAAATAAAGTCCTTTTAATGGAGAGGTGGAAATGAATAAAGAATGGTATGAAGGAATCGCATAGAATCTATATATTTAAAAGTTGGCTAAATGAATGTTGGTTTTAGGAATATTCTTTGATTTGCCAATTTGTGCTTTTAAAATTGCATTTTCAAATTTTTGTCCAATAAACTTTTTATCACATTTGCTTAGCATGTATTCACCTTGAGTGATTTGGGTTTCCCTTTTTCTTTCTTGATCTTTTCTTATTAAAGAGTAAAATGTCTAGAGAAAGGATAAACAAGAAAAAAGTTAGTATCTTAGTCAATGTTTCTCAGTAGTTTAGAATAGATGTAGATTAGGCATTTGCTATAGATTAGGTAAATAAAGCATAAATTTAGAAAATCTAATGCTAAGCATTGCCTGTCAACCAGGGTAGATAAATTCTGATTATGAATCTATATCTGTTTCAGGAAAATAATGGACTTTGAAAATTAGACTAATGAATATCAAATAAAGTAACAAAGATAAAGTGATATATGTTATCGCTATGAGGACTGACTTATTTGTGGTTCTTTCAGCCCAATTATTGAAGACAGCCGCGAAGCCACACACTCCTCTGGGCTCTCGGGGTCTTCTGCCTCAGTTACAAGTTCCTCCTCCATCAGATGTCTTCAAATTCCTGAGAAACTGGAGCTTACTAATGAGACTGCAGGTAGCTTCATACATACCACTTGTAAGCAAACCTCTACCTCCATGTCTACTGAACACTTATTTATCTCAGCAAACTGAGCTATGTGGTTTTTTTCTATAGAAAAGTTCCCATAAATTGTGCAATTTCTAGAATGAATCAGTATTAACTGAACACCATAAAGACCTGAAGTAGATGAGTTTTGTTAGGTTAGCTGTATTGATTGTACAGTCTTGTGTTTTTTCCTCTCCTCTGTTTATAACACCCATTTTAGGTTTGGGGGTGATGGGGTTTTTTGACTTTTTTTTTTCCCCCAGACAACCCTACTCAGTCACCCTGGTGTCCACAGTATCGCAGACAACTACTAAAATCTCTAATGGAGCTGAGGGCCTCTGCAGAGTTTTTTATAGAAGATAGACCAATGCCTAAGTTGGAAATAGAAAAGGAAATTGAATTGGGTAAGTATCATTGAACGCATGGGGTTTTTTGTATGACACTATACAAGTAAGTGATTATTTGTACTTGAGCTTGAAGCTCGAGCACAGTAAGTATTTTTAGATTAGAAGAAACAGCATTATAGGGGCACCTGGCTGGCTCAATCAGTAGAGCATGCAACTCTTGATCTCAGGGTCATAAGTTCAAGCCCCATATTGGGGGTAGAGTTTACTTAATTAAAACAACAAAAAAACTGATGTAAAAAAACAAATGAAAAAGAAACAGTATTATAGAGGTTGATACATTGATAAGTTCATGTCCAGGTAACAATATGGATTCTGTCTTCCCCTCTTTCAATTTTTAACAAATGATTTTGAAAAGTATTCTAACTGACTGCTCAGTGGCAGATATAAAGTACCTTTAGCCCTTAAACCAGGAGGTAAAAGCTAAGGTGCTGTACATATTCACAGTGATTTTTAAATGGAATCAAACCTTCTCAACAGGTAATGAAGATTATTGCATTAAACAAGAATACCTAATATGTGAAGATTACAGATTATTCTGGGTGACACCAAGAAACTCTGCAGAGTTAACCATAATAAAGGTGGGACTGATTCTTTGTCATTTCAGTTACCTTTTAAAAAAATAATGTGGGTTGAAGCAGTAACTATGGCCCCATGGTACCATCAAATCCCTTGAATAGTCCATAAGCTTCTTGATAGAAAAGTCGGTGAGACATCAAAAAATCACTCAGCATTATGTGCCAGGATCAGATATCGAAAAGGAGAGGCAATCGTGTAAATCTCTTAATATGTCCAAACATACTAAATATTCTATTAATTCTATCTTTTTGAGGAAATATCCTGAAATTTTCTGGCCTGCTCCAATCTGGACAGATTACATTCTGGGACACACACACACACACACACACACACACATACACACACACACCTTTTGACATTTCCATTCACCATTATCCTAGGGAATCACATTACCTCTTTCTTATGTTAGATGCCCAGTAATATTGGCTCCCATTTTTATTTCTTTTTGGTTTAAGCCCTCATATTTTAGTAGCCTCCCGAGAAAGGATGCATGGGATATAAATTTTTTTGAAACCTTTCATGTCAGAAAATTTTTTATTCCACATCTTTACTTGATTGGTAGTTTGGCTGGATATTAGAATTCTAGGTTCAAAACTTTATTTCCTTAGAATTTTGAAGATAAGGTTTATTATCTTTTGGCTTGTGGCCTTTCTTTTTAAAGTCTTTTGCCATTTTTTGTGTAAGACTATTTTTCCCTCTCCCTGAATCCTTGTAGAATCTTCTTCTGTTTATCCCCAGAATTGTCCCCAGTATTCTGAAATTCCACAAATACATGTTTTGGTAAAAATCTATTATTGCCCATATGCTAGACACTGGATGGCCATTTCAATGTGGAAACTCCTTCAGTTTTGAGAAAATTTCTTCAAAGAATAAATTATTTCTTCTTTTCAGTCTTCTGTTCTCTCCTTCTAGAATTCCTTTTATTAGGAAATGGGGTGTCTTAGAGATCCTTTAAAAATCTTATCTTTTTTTCTCCTTTTCTATCTCTTTGTCTTTTTGCTTTACTTTCTGCAATGTTTTGTCAACTTTATTTTCATACTTGTTATTGGGTTTTTCATTTCTTTTGTCGTGCATTTGATTTGCCAGCGCTCTTTTTTATTCTCAGAATTTTCTTTATAACATTCTGCACTTCATTTCAAAGATGGAATATCTTTATTTCTCTGTGTGTATTTATGATGCTTTAAACTTTTTTCTCCCTGCATCATCTGTTTCCTTTTGTCTGTTTTGAGCTCTGTCTTTCATATTAGAGGCTTTCTTCAAGTCTTTGACTCTCTATTCATATTTAAGTGTGGGACTCTAAAAGCTAATTGAAAGCTCTGTGTATACAGGACCTGGACAGCTATTGGGCCTCACTGTAAGAAGATCTTGCTTAGCCATTCAATAAAAGGCCTCCATCTTTGAGGTCTTTTCTTTTGAGCTGATCAGATCCTTCAGAGAAAACTTCTAATATCTTTTCTGGAGCATATAATCCTGGTTGCTAGCTTCTTGGAAGCTAAGTGGGAAAATTAGTCTGGAAAGTGGAGGGGCAGACAGGTGCATCTTAACATTTGATGTATAAACTCCCCCCCAACCCCCGTTAACAGTGCCTGGCGACCTCTAGCCCAGAGCCCTTCTGCTTTATACTTTCTAGGGGTAAACTTCTGGTCTTCTAGAATGGAGGAGAGGCAGGGGAATCTGGGGTTTAACTTTCTCCTTAATATAGTTCAATCACTCCTGTGGTAGCCCCACCTCCACCCTTCTCTAGGTAATTGGTGCCATCAGTTTTATACTGTGGGGAGATGGTCTTGTAGTGTAAATTTGGTTGTTCTCAGCTTTCTCTACTGCTAGAATCAGCTTTCCTTGGGTCAGCTAAGTGGATTGTTACCTCTTACTGTTCTCTTTCCAGCTTCCAGAATTTGTTGCTGCTGTGTTTTTTATTATAGATTTTTGACTTTTAAAACATTCCTTTACTATTATTTCTGTTGGGGTATCATAAAGGCTGGAGGGAATGTTTTCAACCTGCCAGCCATAACCAGAGATTCTAATAGCTTTTATTTTTAAAATTTCTTACAGGTATCAGCTCAACCTGTCCCATGGGACTTTTATATCAACCTCAAGTTAAAGGAACGTTTAAATGAGGAGTATGATCATTTATGCAGCTGTTACCAGTACCAAGATGGTTGTATTGTTTGGCACCAGTATATAAACTGCTTCACCCTTCAGGTTTGAATAATATAAAAGCATATCATTTAAAGTCCTTAAATAGAGAGTTTGTGCTCCATTTAGCAAGGGAATTTAGTGCAAAATTCCTGCTAACCTTCTAGAAATAGACCAATTAAATTATAAACTAAAAGCATTGATCATTTTCCTTTCCCAAGTTGTTTTGACCAAAAACTTCTTTGGTATTTTTTTTTAACTTTTTATTATGTCAATTTTCTTTTTCTTTTCTTTTTTTAAAAGATTTATTTATTTACATAATCTCTATACCCAAGAAAGATGGGGCTCGAACTCACGACCCTGAGGCCAAGAGTCACACACTCTACTGACTGAGCCAGCCAGGCACCCCTATTATGTCAGTTTGCAAACATGGACAAAAATAGACAGAATTGTGCAATGACCCAGTCATCTAACTATGTTCATCATCAGCTCATGGCCACTCTTATGTTAAATTCCTGGTGTGATAATTCCAATATTCTTTCCATGTCTGGTTTTGATATTTGCTTTGTCTCTTCAAACTGTGTTTTTGGACTTTTAGTGTATCATAAAATTTTTCTCTTTTTCTTTTTTAAAGATTTATTTATTTGAGAGAGAGCACATGCACGTGTGTGAGTGGGAGGAGGGGCAGAGGGAGAGAATCTCAAGCAGACTCCCTGCTGAGCCCAAAGCCTGAGGCGGGGCTCCATCTCACCACCCATGAGATCATGACCTGAGCCAAAACCAAGAATCAACACTTAACTGACTGAGCCACCCAGGCGCCCCTAATTTTTCCTGATAGCCAGACATGAAGTACTGGGTAAAAGGAATTGCTATAAATAGGCCTTTAATAATGTGGTGATAAGGTGTGAAGGGAAGGAAAGCATTGCATAATTCTGTGCTTTATGTTCTTTTATAGTGAGCCTATGCCTCTGGACTGTGCACCTCACAAGTATTTCTCTTCTCTTAGGTGGGACATGATGGCTAGAGTGGGCTGGAGTTGGGTATTTCCCTTCCCCAGGTCAAGTAGGCTCAGATAATACTCTAGCAGGTTAGTCTTCAGTTAACTAGTTTCTCCTGACGACAGAGCTTTTTAAGAACAGAGTGCTCTGGCCTGTTTCAAAATGGTTCCTCTTTCCCTCCACCTCTAGAAGCACAAGGAGCATTTTTCTCCAACATTTGCTGTGAGAACCTGATCTAGCTCCTAGATATAAAACTCACAGAAGTGTGAGGAACCCCCTCCACCACCACCACCACCATGCTTATAGATCCTAGAAGAGTTGATTTTTCAGTCTGTTCAGCTTTTTATTTTTAGGACAGAGTGGCAACTTTCAAACTCTTTACATAAGGAAGGGTCTGTTTTTGCTACTCTAGTTTTATCTATGCTATCCCCCAGTAGATTATTTTTAGAACCCAAACACAATATATCATTTTATTCTTAGGAATGTTCTTTTTTTTTTTAAGATTTTATTTATTTGAGAGAGAGAGAGCGTGCATGCGTGTGCGTGCCAAGGAAGGGGAGGAGCAGAGAGGGAGCGAGGGGGACAGACTCTGTGCTGAGTGTGGAGTCTAATGCAGGGCTTGATCCCAGAACCCTGAGATCATGACCTGAGCCAAAAGCAAGAGTTGGACGCTCAACTGACTGAGCCACCCAGGTGCCCCTGGAATGTTCTTAAGAGGTGTTGTTGCATATTTTGATGGTAATATGAATTTTCTAAAAAGGTTGGAATGAGGGTATTTTGAAACTACCATTTATAGAGCACCTATTATGGTCCTGGCTAATCCTCGATGCTCTTCATCCCTTATTTCAATAAATCCTTATAGTCTTAGAGGAGAGCAGTGTTGTTAGAACTGGGACGAAGACCCAGCCTGTGAAAGAGCCAGATCCTAGTAGAGAACAAGGAGTACAAAGCGGCAGGTGGCAAGGTACTGGGTGTAAGTACAGTCACCGCAACTTAAGAAATAGTGAATTTTCTGTCCTTTGTTTCTAGGATCTTCTTGAACACAGTGAACTTATTACCCATGAAATAATAGTGTTGGTTATTTATAACCTTTTGACAATAGTGGAGAAATTGCACAGAGCAGAAATAGTCCATGGTGACTTGAGTCCGAGGAGTCTGATTCTTAGAAACAGGTTCGTCCTTCTCATTCTCTTAAAATTCTGTCAACTTTCTCTTAAAATATGGACAGTTTCCATTTCCTTTTGCCTCTCGATAAATGCCATATTGAGGAACACAGTATGTTAAAGTATTTGCTATCTAAAAGTCAATAATCAAGGGGAATAATTTAAAAGAGTTCAAAGAAAAAAATACATTGAGGAAATACATTAATTCAGAAAAAAACAAATTGACCACTCTGAGTATTGTGATGATTCCTGGCAAGGAGAGATATAAAATATGAAGATTTGGAGGACTGTGAAATAGATTGTGTAGTCTTTCTTTGAGTGGGACCAGTGCGGATTGAGTGAGGATGCTAACAAAACCAAGGCACTTCTCAGTTTCAAAACCAAAGCTTAAGTCAGGCCAAATTGAGGTAATTGCCAAGAGAAGTGGCTAAACCAGAGTGCAAATGCAAACTATGCCAAGAAAAAGGGCTTAGTGTTCAAATTAAACCCCGTTTAGCCATCAAATGCAAGGGGTGAACACAGAGCAGCAAATAAATAGTTTTATGATGGCCAAAAAATGTTGTATCTTGTGCTATGGAAAAATGGGAGCAATTGTAAATTTTAAAGTAAAATATATCATTCTGTGCTGTGGAGGTATGTGATGGGATTAGTCAAAGCCTATATTTAAAAATATAGCATCTATCACTGATACTAATCAGGGATTTGAGGGAACTGAGGAAAGCAGAGACAAGGAACACAAAAATAATTCATTCTTTTCTCTCACATAAATAGTTATATGTCTCCTTGGAGAGTAGCTTTATTGCATGGGATAGATAAATCCAAGGAAAATATAATTAATAGTGAGTTAGTGTTATTAGGTTTTCTTTTGTTTGTTTGTTTGTTTGTTTGTTTTGGGGGTTAGTAAATAATGGTTGGCATTACAGATAAGAGTAAGAGAGAATATGGTGTTCGTTTAATAAAAACAGGATAGTTTACAGTATAGGTGGCATCTTACACAAAAACAGCCTTATTGTTATTTCAGTTAAACTCTTGAGAAGGAGGAATCTGAATGACACTTGGAAAGCCTAATCTATAGTAGTGAACAAGAAAGGCTATAACATCTATAAAAGCTTAATTTCTTCCATAATTCTCATCAGTGTGTAAATCATTGCTGTTATCCATATTGGTGTGTCTAGTATAAGAGGCTGGTACTCTACTTCCAGTACTTGTTTTATATAATAAATATAATATGATAAATATTCTGTGGTGGCTGTACATTATGGTTTAAATATCCTTGTGTCACTAGGCTAAACTCAACGTTCCCCACTTAGCTGGACACTGCCACGGCTCTTACAGTTGCATTTTCATAGCTAACCACTGGAGGGAGCTGTTGGTATAGCTAAGACACACCTGCAATACCTTTTTTTTTTCTTTTTTTTCTCTTTTTTTTAAAGAGCAGCTCTGCAGCTTCTTTCATGGCCTATTTTTATTATCTCTTTCTCTTAAATCTGGGCTAGAATCCACGATCCCTATGATTATAATAAGAATGATCAAGCTTTGAAGATAGTGGACTTTTCCTACAGTGTTGACCTCAGGGTGCAGGCTGATGTTTTTATCCTCAGCGGCTTTCGGACTGTACACATCCTGGAAGGACAAAAGATCCTGGCTAACTGTTCTTCTCCCTACCAGGTAAGTGTAAAACAAGACTGAGCAAACATGGACAGGGTTTCTTAATCTCTTTCTTCCATAGATAAACCATGAAAGCTAGTGTTTACTGATATTGTCTCCCCTGGAATAGATGACCTAGTTTTCAAATTTCACCAAGTCAAGCAAAATATACCATTTTTCTGTCACAGCATTGAAGACTGTACACATACACATGCAGACACATGACTAACTCAGTAACCTAAGTGTTAGGGCCATTTCCATCACTCATCTGTGTGATCTTTTGTAAGTAATTTTCTGTAATCTTTGTAAAATAAGGATAACAATCTGCTCTGTGTGTATCAGAATTGTTGTGAGGATTAAATGAAATAATGTATATAAAAAGAACGTTACAAGAGTAAAGTGCTTTGTATGGTAGCGTTATATACAAAATCCCTTCTGACTCCTCTCTGGACGTTTGGCATTTGCTGATTGAAAATGTATCATGAACTTGAACTCGTCATGTGGACCACGTTTAGATCACAGCTAGAGTCCATGCACATTCAGTAGGTCTACAAATTTGAATTTGACAGTCTGTATATTTTTGTTCTTCAGGATAATTTTGTTCTCATCTTTTGTTCTTAAGGATAATTCCTAGAATTAGCTCTATTGATCACTTCTTTGGGGAGCTTCTCCCTTTATGGTAAGGGTAGGGAACAGTCTACTAAAATGTATGTCATAAGATAAACTTAAACACTATAATAACTTTCAACTTTCTACATAAATAGATTGCCATTAGAGTAGCAGAGAATTATTTTAGCTGATGGTGCTTTTTGTGATTTCAGGTAGATCTGTTTGGTATAGCAGATTTAGCACATTTACTATTGTTCAAGGAACACCTACAGGTCTTCTGGGATGGGTCCCTCTGGAAACTTAGCCAAAATATTTCTGAGTAAGTATTGGCGATTTCAGGGTCTTTGCCTATCCAAATAATTTTCTCTTACTCTTGGGTGCCCTCTGCTTGGGCAGCCTTAGTTTTCTTAGTCCAAATGCCATGATTCCATTAATTTCAACCAGTTTTCACTAGAGTGTCAGTGGAGCATCTAGTGCAGAACAAAGGAATTGCTAATTAAAAATAAGAATCAAACTATTCAGACTTCAGGACATCATTCTGGACCTAGATGTATCCTATAGACTGTGGTACGGAAGCCTCTCATTCTAGAAGTGTTAATAGAAACATTTCGTGAGAATAATTTTATAATCAACTGATGTTAGTCTTATACCCCTTTTTAATAGCTATTGTTATCAAAGTTAACAAGCATCTCTTGAGAATTGAATTTCTAAATTATATACTAATTTTAGGCTATTATTTATTTAATGAATGGGTAGAACCAAAGCAGAGAACTGAGTCTCCTCGGAGAAGTAAATGCTCCCTTAATAAGAGCTGCTTGGTCTCAGAACCGTAATATTCCCTCAAGCCTACTTATAAAACTTATTAAATATCCCATGTTCTACTTTTGCTTATCATAGCTAATAACTTCCCAGAATAAGCTCCCCATCTATCAACTTATTTATATATTCTTTGGCTTAAAAAGAGAAAAAACAGTGCTGGGAATTTAACACCCCTTCTCCATTCCCCCTACTCCCAACAAGTGAATTGTATTTTTTTTCTTTATTTAATTCAGAATTTGACCAGTCTTATTTGTCTCTGAAACATACTTTATTAAAAATAGGCTTTAAATATAATGTAAGACCTGTAGATAAATTCAGGTATCTCCAGTGGGCTGTGGTCCTAAGTGGGTTGAACACAAACAGAAACAGGTAGGGTCAGCTGGGGTTTCCTAACAACCCTGCCTTCTACGATAATAGAAGCTTCTCTTATTTAAAAAACCAAGGAAGTTAAACATCATAGGAGTAGTTACTTCAGTCAAGCTTAGGATTCTCGGAGGACTATGAAGATAATAAAACTCTGGGCAGGGGGAAAAGGAGAACTGCAGTCTGTCTAATGACCTAGACTTTAGGGAAGTTAGAGGAGAGGAGCAAAATTCACTTGTCTTCCTTTTGTAGAGCAGTGCTGCATCTTAGCACACAGAGGCAATGGTGGATTTGGGTCAGAGACTTTCTCTTTACATGCATTGTATTACGGCTCTCTGCTCTTTTTCACGGTTCCACCCTGGGCTTTGAAAGGATTACTTGAATGAGTTCTAACCCTAGACTTCTAGCTATTACCTTAAATCATTTAGTGCATATATGTACCACTGATTTAAATACAGAATTCTTTTATATGTCTAATCTTGATGGAAATGGTTTTATATATTTTTAGGCTAAAAGATGGTGAATTGTGGAGTAAATTCTTTGTACGGATTCTGAATGCCAGTGATGAGTCCACAGTGTCTGTTCTGAGGGAACTTGGAGCAGCAATGAGTGGGGTGTTTGACACCACTTTCCAAAATCACCTGAACAAAGCTTTGTGGAAGGTAGGGAAGTTAATCAGTCCCGGGGCTTTGCTCTTTCAGCAGGATAGGCAACCAAATCTCTCACAGATTCCTGCCTAAAACCAGTGGTTGTATTGTGGAACACTGGACCTGTGTATGCTGTAATTCAGTTTAGGACATGTTTAGATACACTACCAACACATTGCTACTTTTGAGTAAAGGTATATTTCTAGGTTAACTGGCATTTTCTGCATAGCGCTGTATCTATTCTTGGCCTTGTCTAACTAACAAAGAAGTGTTTTATTCTTAATGGACTGCATATGAATGGGTACCTTATTGTCATTTAACACATTTGTCTCTACTTTTCCCTGTACATTTTTCTTTTGTAATTTGTGACATGTACCCTTAGGATCACTATGTGTGTTTTTTTTTGATCACTATGTATTTTTAAGTAATAAAATAGTATTTGTTAAATTTGTGCTTCTAACATCTCATCTACTTTTTGCCAACTAAGATAATAAATGGCTTGATTTCACAGACAGGAGCTGTTGTACCATGGAAATTTATATATCCTAGACATAGAACTGCCATGATAGAATCATAACAAGACAGAATAGCCAACCATTCCTTTGGGTGTTCCTGACCTTCCACTAAGTGGTCTAGATTTAAAAGTAGCTAAAATGATTTAATACAAGGCCAAATTTTCTTAAATTTCGAGTGGCGAAGTTGTTTGTTCTGATTCTATTTTAATATTTTCATTTTTTTATCCACCAAACCCTTTCGTCTATTTATATAATCTCGTGGTGCTCCGGCCACTGGGTCTCTTGATTAGGACTGTGGCTATTATAAAGGAAGAGAAAAGGTTTTGAATGGGGTATAGCAACCTTTCAGAAATAGAACAATCACCATTCTACTACCTGCAGAATGACTTGGTGGGGCAAGAGTTAATAAAGGAATGGAAGGAAGTTTTGTTGATTGGAAGATTTGAAGAGATAGAGGCCAGGATAAAAAGATAACTTGGAAGCATGTAGTAATTTGGGAGAGACTAGATCTAGAAGAAGTATTAGATCCCCAAACAGAAGCATGGATTATACCTGGCTTTGGGCAGAGGGAGGAAAATTGGAAGAAAGGGGCAATGAAAATCATCTATTTCATATCCAAATATCAAAATTCTCAACTGTGCCTCCCTCCATTGCTGGTGCCTGATTTTTTTTTTCTTTACTCTAGTTGTCACTGTTACTGCTCTAAGATTGCTGGAAAGCAGAAAATTCTAAGTATATCTCAACTAAAAATATTTAAGCATATATAGTTGATGCACTGAAATATGACTTGAGTCTGAAAGATAATCAACTTAGAAATTTTTGCTCTTAACCAAAACACAACTTTTCATTTTCACGTTTGCTTCTTGTACAACTGATGATGTAAAATTATATATCTGTATCTTTGCTGTAATTGAGCCCTTCTACCCCTCTGCTCTCCTCATTTCTCAGTCCACCATTTCGACACATAAAACCCTTAGTCTGAGGATGAACAGTAAATTTAGATTCTTTCTTAACATAGGCTTAGCTATCAATTAGTGACTTCTTCAAGAACCTTGGCAGCAAGGCTGAAAAACCAGAGCTTTGTCTCTGAAAGTCAGCTCTGAGGAGAGGGAAGAGAATCTGGGGAAGTTCCTTTATCAGAGAACTTGCAACTGTTTTCCCACCTCTCCCTCCATTCCCCATCTCCTCCAACCCTGACCCTTCTCTGTAGAGGGAAGAAAACAGTTAGGACCTGTGACATCTTAGTTTCCTCTTTGCCTAGGCATAAAACCACAAAGTGGGCGCGCTTCCATTTCCCTTGTATTTTATGCTTGTTTGTCTTGGAAGAAGGAAGCCTCTGTTTTTTGGCAGAAGCTTCAAATGAGTCTTATTTCTTGTCTCACTAAGGCAGAAGTAGCATAACAATGGACCTGGCAGGGGAAACAGCTGAAAAGACAGGATTTTTACTTTTGTCTGAAAAGAGACCATGGAACATTATAGTGCCTCACCATTCACGAGGTCTGCACCCACCAATCTCCAGTACCACTGTTAGAGTCCTCGTCTTCCTGTGCCGCTTGAATAAGAAACCTTCCATCCAAGTCATAGTGCTCTGACTGATGCCAAACCTGAATCTGGAAATAAAAAGGTTTTCCTATAGGAGTAGGACTTTAGACTATTAGTTGAGCTATTATCTCAAAGTAGATAAGAAAGCCTTCCAGATGGTTAGCACAGGGCTCTTTGAAATGACCCTTGATGTGTTTAAGCTAAAGTCTTTAAGCAAAGACACCAAAGAAAGGCTTCTTTTCTGTTACATTGGAAAATGTGGGATTCTTCCTCCAACTGCACCAACTCTTTCTAACGTGCCAAAATTTGCTGCCAGTCTCTAAAATTAAGACTTCCCTAGTGAGGAAGATGTATTTTAAAAACTTTTTTAATATAGCAAACTTTGACTTTAATGAGGTCCTTGATTCCGCCAAAGACAGAAGAAGCTATGGATACTTAATAGAACAAAGGTGGCATTTCAGATCAGTGTGGGAAAAGATAGGGTATTCAATAACTGCTGTTGAAATAATGGGTTAGAGTTTGAATTCTGTCACCAGTGCCACCACGAGTTCATACTTTTGTGCAAATTAGACAAAGGCCCCTTCCTCTAGTGGATTCTGTACCTCCCAGGGTACTGTAGCCTTACTGGATTTCAACCCCCACTTAGCCTGTCAGCCTGCTGCCCTTGTTTGCATACCCGTATGCAGTGGGCTTGCCTGTTTCACTGCTAATCTGCAAAACCATCTTAGATCAAAAACGTTAATGGAAGAAAATGAAAATGTCAAATATTAGGGGCACCTGGATGGCACAGGCGGTTAAGCATCCGACTCTTGGTTTTGGCTCAGGTTGTGATCTCAGTGTCGTGAGATTGAGCCCTGCACTGGGCTCCGCACACACATGCTCAGCGCAGAGTCTGCTTGAGATTCTCTCTCCTTCTCCCTCTGCCCCACCTGCTCGTGCGCTCTCTCTAAAATAATAATAATCTTTGAAAAATAAATAAAATAAAATAAATCTTTGAAAAAAAAGAAAATATAAAATACTAGATGACTTTGTAATCTTTTGTCGTTGTGACGTAAAACCAAGGTATAGGGAAGAATATCGCTATTTATTACTATAGTAGATAAAAACCAAAATCTAATGGCTACCTATCTCTCCCCTCAAAAAAAAAAAAAAAAAACCATAAACTGAAACTAGGAAAAATAACTTGCGACATATATTTGCATCATCTTTCACTTGCATTATTTCACGGTCTCATAACTGATCTCTGGGCTTCCCTACCCACCCCCAGTCATAACCGAACCCTTATTACAGCCTGTGAGAACCTACCGGTCTGCCCCACTATTCCCTGACTTCTTCCCTGACTCTTCTTTTCCTCACTCACTCCTCTCTAGCCTGTCCTCCTCCTAGGTTCTCTCTTTATGGTCTTTTAGCCTGCCATTTCTTCTGCCTGTATCTTCACATGGATTACTCCCTTCAGAGAGTAGTCGCCACCTTATCAGAGAGGTCTTCCCTGGCCATTCTGTACACAGCAGCATCCCCCCCACACACACACTGCTGCTACTTTCTGTCCCTCTTTACCTGCTTTGTTTTTTCCAAAGCACCTACCACAACCTCGTGTGTGTGTAAATTTTTTTTCTGTATCCCACTACTAGAATTTAACTTACTTAAAGGTGGGGATTACTTTGTTTCCTGTTTTAACCCAAGTGTCTGAATGAATAAAATATTGACAAAGCACTATTTAACCCTAAAGGACAAAGAACTCCTTAAAAAATTTTGAAAACCAATAGAAATAGACAAAGGACATAATCCATTAAAAACATTTTAATGGCCCACTTACCTGAGATAGTCACCCTTCATTCTTAACTAAATAAAATGCAAAATAAACCTGAAATTTTAATCATTCACATAGGAAATAGTTGAAAATTGTATTTGTGACAGTAAAGGGAAGCAGGTACCCATATATTATTTGTATTATTAGCTGGAGTGCAAATTGTATATTATCAGAAGGTGGTTTGGCAATATTTATTAAATTTAAATATTCCCTCCAGCTGAGAAATTTTTCTAAGAAGTTATCTTAAAGAAACATTGGCACAGATTGGCACACTCAAAGAAAAGCACCATTTCTATTGTCTTCCTGCTTGCAAGGCTCCTTAGTACCGAAGGGGTGATCAGAATGACAGACCCCAGGAAAACAGGAGCCCTGGACAGTGCAGAGGTGACATCGGACCATTTGTGTAGACCGCAGGGGTGCTCTGGCACTGGTGCTGAAAACCAGTTTTCCCATTTGGCATAGAGATGGCAGAACTTGCCTTAGGCTTGGAGGGAGAAACTCCAGACGTTTTCAGCTTAGGTTAAAAACAAAAAAGAAGCTGAAGAGGAAACGTGATTACCTTTGGGGAGAGCCATAGGAGTGGGGAGAGAAAGGAATGAAGGTTTTTACTTTTCATTTTGTGCATTTCTGGACCTTTTGAATTTTCTGACCATACCCATGGATTACTTTTTTTCTTTTTTTCATCTATTGTCTAAGAAATGATGGGCCATGGTTTTGTGATCTTTTCTTTATATTAAGAAATAAAAAGCCTAATAACTGTTAGTTTTGTTTTGTTTTTAATGGGAAATTTGGGAAGCTTTATCACCCAAATATCAAAGCAAGATTAATTTGGAATTAAAATGAGGGACTGAGGGGCACCTGGGTGGCTCAGTCATTAAGCGTCTGCCTTTGGCTCAGGTTATGATCTCAGGGTCCTAGGACCGAGCCCCACATCGGGCTCCCTGATGAATGGGGAGTCTGCTTCTCCCTCTCTCTCTGCCCCTCCCGCCTGCTCATGCTCTCTCTTGCTCTCTCTCAAATAAATAAAATCTTTTAAGAAAATGAAAGTGTTTTAAATAATTGGAGATAATATATCTAAATTTGCATTTTTAGTATGCTAAAAATTCATATATATTCAAATATCTTGTAATTTTTCTATTTGAGACATGCTTTCCAAAATACCATCTTCCTTATAATTGCCTATGTCCGTGAACAAGGGAGTGAATTACATAAAACTTGACTTTTTGCAAAACAAAATGCATTTTATGGCTTTCATGTAGAAACTTGAGTTTCTACAAACTGACATTGATTATGAAAGGAACAGACAGACCATGATGAACTTAGGCTAAACTTCTTTGAATATATACCTTTTCTCTTTTTTCTTTTTTTTAAGATTTTATTTATTTGACAGAGAGAGACACAGCGAGAGAGGGAACACAAGCAGGGGGAGTGGGGGAGGGAGAAGCAGGCTTCCCGAGGAGCAGGGAGACCAATGCGGGGCTCAATCCCAGGGCCCCGGAATCCCAGGACCCTGGGATCATGACCTGAGCCAAAGGCAGACGCTTAACGACTGAGCCACCCTGGCGCCCCAAACATATACCTTTTTTCTATCAA